ATATTTACAATTTTAATTACTCGTTTCGCTACTCTGCTAAAAGATTATTTTTAGTAAAATTCTTAAAGTAGTAGAATGTATAATGTGCTTTACTCTTCTCTACATCCTTTATGTATCTTATAGGATTAATATCGATTTATAACGATAATCATGATAATTTGCGAGATCATTTTCATATTTTTTACAAAATATATCTCAATATTTCAATTGCAAATTAATAAATATTAAATATTAAAAATAGATATTATAATACTCATCTGACATAACGTGGAAGAGAACCTCGATGAATTATAACCTCACGTACACCCCAACACTAACCAAACTAATCCAACGTGTCACGACGCGAACTGCCCTCATCAAAATGAACTGCTAGTGCGCACTATTAGTGTAGTAGTAATACTACTGAAATATAGTAGTGTCACTGCTGATATTAGTAGTGTCACTACTTGTGACTAGCAGTGTTGAAGTGCAATAAGAAATTCGCGGTAGTGTCACTAATAGTGTTACTACTCATTCGAGTAGTAACACTGCTAACTTTTGTACTACTGCACTACTGCACTAGTAGTTTCACTACTTATACCATAATAATGAATAGTGATACTACTGGGATGAGTAGTGATACTATTAGTGCAATAGTGTATTAGTGTACTACTGACGAGTGACGAGTGATATTCTAACGTATTATTGTAATACGTATGCAAATTATTTGAAAAGATAGGGATCATATATTAAATGGATTCTTATGAATTTAAAAAATAATTTTAATAAAATAATTTGAAATATATCAATGTTAAAAATCGATATAATCGGAGAAAATAATTGATTATTTTTATACTTTTTGCAATTATATATATATAAATTGCTAAGCAATGCTTTCATAATGTTTTTTAAATAATTTTTACTATAATTTACGAAAAACAGTATAATATGCAAAACAAAATTTATTTAATATATATCTGCAGTTTCTTTAATATTTAAATTATAATAATGTTATAATTATTTAAATTATATTTATGACCGCGTATATGGAGAAAAAAGAAATATAAATGTGAACTACATTTTTTATAGTAAAAAACGAAATTGTAAGCAGTTTTTATTGATTTGTTATACAATGTGCAGGAAATACATGTAATACATAATGGTGCAAACGAACAGAAATTTAGAAAATATATACACTGCTAATCAGTTTCAACGTTATTTACAAGACGTACAATGCAATAAGTTTGGTCACCATCATTTGTGCATCTGTATGGCATTCTGACGCATTTCGATCGCATTACATTCGGTAAAAACGCAGTAATATTTTCAGTTGCAGTGGCTATTACAAACAAATTTTTTGACGTAATTCGGTACTGTTGTGTACTACATATAACTTCATTAGACGGTTGCAACCTCTTGCCAATGATAATGTATTTTAATTCATTACTCAATGTAGTACGAATACCCAATATAGATTGCAACGTAACAAAGGAACCGTCTTGCAATTCTACTGTACTATTATGTCGTTTTTTAAGTAATTTATAAGATTCCGTGTGCCACAACATCTGCAAAAATATGAACCGATCAAATTTCTCTGCATAATTTTGAATTTCTTCTCGTATTAGAGCTTCTATTTCTGTTTTTTCAATTACTGATAACTGAATTTGAACAGATTTTCCAAATAGCCTTAGATCAGATCCATATGTTATGCACCGTTGTGGGCGAAATACTTCACTCATTCTTTTGAATAAGTTCTTAGCATCCTGAGAACAATTTCTACGTGAAAACGCTGTTGTTGATAATTGTTCTACACTCTTATATCGTAAATATGATTTGCATATTTGTTCTGGAATTGCATTGGAACTTTTGAACATTTTGCTTAATACTCCGTTATAATGCTCAAACGGAAATGTAGACGATGCCCAAAGAGCGCCAAACCTTCGAACACTTTCTGGTATGTGAAGCATTAAATGACAATTAAATTTGTAATATTCTACTCCATATAATTCCCCAATTTCCAAAACAAATGTTTTTATAGCTACTTCAGCAGCAGCAAACTCCTCATCGTAAATTTTCTCTTTTAAAAACACGTGCATACTAAACACTAGAAGAAACCAATGTTTAACATACCTTTCAGGCATTTTATTCTTTAAACATATTATAGAATAGTACAACAGATAATTTTTCCATTCTGAACCCTTCCAAATTTTCCTTTCAGTAATTGATCTAGGTGTTCTCGTTAGTTCAGAAGGCGGTTTTATTTGCAATAATTTATCATCAAAAGCTGCAGTGTGTCTTCCAATATACCAAGGCTTTTCATGATTTGCAGGATCAAAAATTGTTTCTGTAAAAGTTTTTACTACTCCTAATAAGACACTATGTAAATAATCTGGTGTAAATGACTTTATAACATGAAAAACTGGGAGCAGCATGAAAACTGATGGTCCTTTAACACCTCGTATTGAAATGTTATTTTTAAGTGCTTCTTCACAATCTCGTTCATGCTGTGGAAGTGTGCGAGGCATACATATATCTCCCGGATATACTCTGGTAGTTCCTCTTCCTACGGGTACTTGCACACCTTCGTGCAAGCAAAAAGAACAACCATAGTGACCGTTGAATTGTACAATTTCTTGGAGTATCGACCTTGCTACTGAATCGACAGGACTTACTATGGTATGTACTTTTATGTGCACCTCAGGTTCGCCCACTACATTTCGAGAAATTCCTTTTTCATGCAGTACGCTTAATTCCTCGATAATAGGTTTTACAAATAAATGCATGTTAGGTTTGTCGCGACCGTACCATAATCCACAAAGAATCATTTTTTCTTTTCGAATCGTATATGGCAATTCGTTGATGCAAATTTGAATTGGCCATAGAGACAGACTTGACGAACGACATAATTGAACACCGTCAGTATTAAACTGAAGCGTTATATCATTACCGGAAATTACACCACTTCGTACTAATGATTTATAAAAAGAACCGGACGTTATATCGGAGTAAGAATTATTTTCTCTACGCATTAAAGTGTATGTATCGCTATTTACAATAGCACGCAATTGATCTTCTATGGACATTCGTAAAAAGTAATGCATTTTGGAATTTAAAAATGACTCATTAAATATTTCATTACATTGTGAACATATTAACGTTTTATCACGTCTTTGGGCATCGTTTTGCGTATTCAAAATAACGTGGCAGGACGGACAATAATAACTTTTAATGATTGATGTTAACGAAGGAAATTGTTTTAAAAACAGAAAACTGCTTCGAAAAACCATATTAGGTAATAGCATGTCTACCAAGGCGATTAAATGTTGTAGAGCAACGTCTGTTAAGTGGTGTCGAATGGCGAAATGCAGGAGCAGTAAGTAGGCTTCTTCCTTAGAAATTTGGCAACCATCATATAACGGAACTCGAATCTGTAAAGAAAAGTACCTATGCAACTTGATTTGCTTATAATTATAAGAAATAATACAAAAATATGTAAATATAAGTATGTTATAACGTATAAATTGAAGAAAAGTTAAGCAAATAATTAAAAAAAATCTTTGAAATTTCTAAACATATCTTACTTACAAGTTTTAAGCAATATTTCTTAAAATTCTCTCAAATTTAAAAAAAAATTGTAATTTGTCATTAAATATAAAATCACTTTAAATTTAAATTAAATTGAAATACAGAAAAAAATATTAATAGTGAAAACAATACGGTAACAACTAATTGTGAGATATGTTCAGAAATTGATTTTTACTGTATTGTTCTCACTATTAATATTTTTTCTGCATTTAAATTTGATTTAAATTTAATGTATTTTATATTTAACGACAAATTACAAATTTTTCTTAAAATTTAAGAGATAATGTTAAAAAATACTGCTTAAAATTTGTAAGTGATATATATTCAGAAATTTCGAAGCTTTTTTTTAATTATTTGCCTAACTTTTCATCAATTTATACATTATAATATATTTATATTAAGCTTGTTGAAATTTACAAAAAATTACATATAAAAGACGAAATCGTGACAACACTTACAGGTTCATTTTCTTCTTGTGCATATTCTGCATTATCAAAATGCTCCTCTGCATCTTCGAATATGTCATCGTCGCTCATGTTATGTTCGTTATCACTATTATTGTCATATTCAATAGGAATGTTAGTCTCATTATCGCTGTGTACATTTTCGTCGAAAATCGGTTGAAGTTGTTCCATTTCAATATTATTCCATTCTTCGTTATTGATTGGCTCATCATCGTTCATTTGCTCATCAATAATCAGATTCTAGGGCATTATATTCTCATTAAAAAATTTATTATTTATTTAGAAAATTTGTAAGATTTAAGCATATTTTAATTATTTAATAAGCATTTAATAAACGTTATACTAACCTCAGCCGCAGGCTGTGGAATACGTAGAACTTGCGCTCGTTTCTGGCGAGAGCGCAATGTCGAGTAAGGTACTGCATCATCATTACGCAGATAAGCTTTGTAAGAACCTCTTCGTCTTTGAGCATTCATCGTGTATATACCACTTATTATGAGTCACTGTTCTTTGAAATAATATATTTAGTTATTTTTTGTTTAATTTTAATATTTGAAGGTTTATACCGATATCTATAACAATTGACATTTAAAATAATAGAAAAATTTAAGATGTTCCGTTTCACGCATGAAACATAATGCATCATGATATCCTTGTTGTTTATCCAATATTAAATAAGCTAATAAAGAATAAAGTATATATATGTGCATTACCCTTACGAAAAAAAACTCTCAACTTTGAGTGTTCAACACTAAAAAAAACGCTCAAATTTGGGTGTTAACACTTAAAAAGGACGCTCAAATTTGGGTGTGATTTCGGATCATCAATTGAAGGTTACACTCAATTGAGGGTTAACGCCTTAAAAAAACCATCAAAATAACACCGAAATAAAACCCTGAAATGAAATACACTCAAATAAAAGTACCCAAAGAGCACAAAGTCGTCTAAAAGATGACTAAAAAAATTTATTTTTTATTATTACATATTATTTTTAGAGTTTAATTTGTGTTTATTATTCCGCATATTTTCTATT